CCACACGCACGGTCGGGGCGTTCCCGGAGCTCCCGCCGCGTTGGCGGCCCCGGTTCCCGCGTGCGCGGTCGGCGCGTTCCCGGAGCTCCCGCCGCGTTGCCCCACGTGCACCGTGATACTGGGTTTGCCCTTTCGCTTACATAAAAGGCAATATCAAAAATATACACAATATTGGCGGGAATTTATTTACAGATATGGAGGTGAATAGTGTATCAAACTCCTGGTTATGAGCAGACCATAACTTCCTCTTGATTATTTTGTGAAAAACCCAAAACTTTAACCTGTACATTTGAGCTGCGCTATTTAGTTGATTGCTCTGCTGCTTTCCCAGCCAGAGAGGCCTATGATGGTATTTCTGACCTGACTTTTATATACTACCATATCTGATAGTTCTGTTTTGGCAAATAATTTTATTCCTGTATCTGTCCATTGTAACCCCAACCTCTTTTTTTAATCCTGATATTAAAATCATATTCTTTGCTTCTACTTCTGTGTTCAACTGCTTGCAGCATGAATCACTAACATCTGGCTTGGCAGACTGAGTTCAGTCTGTTTCCAGTCTGTAAAGATTGTATCACATTTTAATCCCATGTTTTAATACACAATCCCTCTAGATCTGTATCCTCCGCAGATGCAGCGAGTGCGTTGTGTTCTATCCTTTAAGTAACTGGCAAGTAGCTGGAATCGCATTGGACTTGCCCAATCTCATTAGCATCCCATTAAACACCTGTGCCGAACGTGACCTTAGAGCTAGAGCTGTTTGGTGGTGGTGTCCTTGGCTGACTGTCTACTCCTTTCATAGTTCCAACTAATTCTCATTTTTCCACTGTTTTATTTCACTATATGGAACTATCCTTCAGTCTTTGCTGGGAGATTAAAAAAAATCAACTGGATTCAAAACACTTTTATAGGAAAGTTAATGTAAAACCAAATTAGGTAATGTACCAAATCAAAGATGCCCAGCAGATCTTCACTAATTTTTACTGTTGGCAGCATGGTACACATTCTGCAACGTCAGCACGTAAGGAATCAGCAGGATTGCTGCGTTGTGTGTAGAGCAATTCCCGTCCTCCGTGTTGGAGGAAGTCCCTGGGCACTTGCCTTAGGGTGAAGCAGGCGCCCGGCTCGCCGCGGCCGAGCACGTCCTCCGTGCACAGACCTGGGCCCGGCCCTGCCACGGCACCTTCCTCCTGTCCCTCTGTCCCCGGGAAGCTGCCGCGGCCGCCGGGGGTGCTAACGTGGGCTGCTCTTGTCCTCTTTCCTCTCTGCTTCTCACTTAATCCTTTGCCTACTCCACAGGCCGGTTCTTTGATGAGAATGAATCCCCTGTTGATCCGCAGCAGGGCTCTAAGCTGGCAGATTATAATGGGGATGATGGTAACGTGGGTGAGTATGAGGCAGACAAGCAGGCTGAGCTGGCTTACAATGAGGAAGAGGATGGTGATGGTGGAGAAGAAGACGTCCAAGGTGAGCTTGGGTCTTATCTCCATCCCATTGAAATGAAATCCATGGAGTTTTATTTGTTGCATTTGTGTGAAGCCTTTGCTATTTATACCTAATCAAAACTTTATAATATGCAATAAGTAAACTTCGGGCTATTTTTCAAATTCAGTCTTACTTTCCCTTCGAAAATCAGCGTTATGTATTTTGATAAACCTCAGTCTTGTATACACTTCATGCTAGGAAAGTCAAGACACTTAAAATTTCAGAGTAGCTTGTTCTGAGCACCAACGTGTGACACCCAGCGCGTTGGCACCCCGATCTTTAGCCCTTACTGACGCGCTGCTCAAGCAGAGAGCACAAGTCTGCGGCTGCGGCTCGTGCGGCAGCGCCGGCCGCAGGTGCTGTGCAGGGAGCCCCGGTGCCCTCGGGGTGCGTTTGGTGCATTTGGTGCGTTTGGTGCATTCCACACATTCAACAGCCCACGCGGTGCCCCCCTCGTGTCCCCTCGCTGCCTCCCTGCCGCGGGGCTCCCGCTTTGGCCGCCCCCTTCCCGGTCCCTGCAGTAGTTTGGTAGCATTTTGTGGAAGGATTTGCATGTCTGTAGGGTGAAAATGTTTTCAGTTCAGAACGTAGCGCTCCCTGGCCTTAGCCTCGTGGCCTGCTCCGAAGCTTGTGTTTCCAGGCGGCGGGGCCGTGCGGGGAAGGACAGGGCTCGCTCCCAGCACCGGGGTCTCCCTGCGGAGCGGGGAGCGGGCCGAGCTCTGCTCCGGCCGTGCGTCAGCAGCGCCCGCGGCGCAAAGGGCCGGCGTTTTGTGCACACATTGGTGCCCAAGGGGGCTTGAGAGCCCCGTTTGTGCAAGCTTAGCCAGGACCCTGCGGTGCATCCCACAGCGCTGAGTGCCCGTTTGCTGCCTTTGGCCATTCGAAAGGGGTTTGCCCGTGCTAAGGACGGGTCGGCCGCTGGAGGTGTGGTGTGAGCCGGATCCCGGGACAGCGCAGCTTTTCGGCGTGTGCTGCTTTACCCTAGCCCAGTCCGGTACCAAGGCGTCGCTCCAGCGCGTTGTGCAGAGGAGCTGGTGGCTTTAGGCAGCCACAGTGGTGTCGTGCGTGCTGCAGACAGCGACAGGTCACACGGGTAGCGTTCCGTGTGCCGCTTACGGAAGGATCAGCAGTAAATAGCAGCAGGTGGACAACTTGGGAGGAAAAAAAAATAAAGTAAAAGGTGTGTTTAAGTCACTTGCAGTGCAGGGAATATTTTAAAAATAAGCAGCCAGGCGGTATTGGGCACAGCCAGAGTGCTGTTTCTGGGGCCTTTGCTTTCCTCCGTTATCTTGTTTCCTCCTAACTTGTCGGCTAACTTGGGTGCAAGCGGGGCGGCCAGGGAAGCGCGACCTGGGGCAGCTTTTCCCAGGGATGGTTTCCTGCTCCGTCCCAGACCCTGAGCCACCTGCAGGGCCAGCGCGGCAGCCCCTGCGCAGAGGGGACGGTTGTCGTCACATAGCGAGGACAAAATGACCTTTGTGACTGGGAACGTGCTGCAGCGCTCCAGGAGAGCAGCCCTTGGCGGCGCGTTGGGTGGCGCAGAGCGCGGCACGAGCGGGTCGACACGTCTGCGCTGGGAACGTCCCTGCCCGTTGGCCCGGCAGGCGCGTGGCCCGCGCTCGCTGCGGCCGAGGTTGGGAGCGAGGGGTCACCCGAGGGCCAGGAAGGCCCCAATCCCGTCCGGCATTCCGGCTGCCGCCCCGTGCTGGATCCGTGCTCTGGGCTCTAAAGCAGGTGGTGCGGGTGACAGGCGCGCTGCGCGGGTTGTTCCCTTCACGGCGCACGTACAGCCGAGCACTTCCCTGCTGGGGGTGCTCTCGGGTGCTACCTGCTGCATTTGCCCTTGCCCGAGAATTCCTGGATCCCGCACAAAACAGGGACAGTTCTGGAAGGAAGCGAGTTGGAGAGCTCTGCTTCAACCTTCCAAGGCAGCGGTGTGCGAGAATGTTGATAGCAAAGTACAGTGGGAGCACTGGTGAAAACTCCCGTCCTTGAAAGGGTGCTGTGCCGCAGAAATCGGAAAGGGGCTTTTTGTTATTGTTCTTTCCAATCCTGAGAAGTACCCAGAAGGGTAGGACCTGGCAGCGCGATTTTGCAGACAACTTCCTCTGTTGGGTTTTAGTGGGAGTGTCGAAACCTCTACAGGAATGTATTGGAGCCACGAGCGTGATGAGTTCTGCAGTCCGGGAATCCGCAGGGTGTTTGCAGGGAGCCAGAGGCACCGGCCGCTGGAGCCCCAGCGCTGCCGCGG